TATATATATATATTAACCATACCAGTCCTTTGCTTAAAAGCCACTCATATTGTCTCACTCATCAGGGGATAAGGGCCAGCATTCCCAGTATGTATGGTCAGGCCTGCAGGATCTATTCTGACTTTGAACACCCCTCCACGCCATCCCCAAATGCTCTTCCTGGCCTTTCCCTGCTCCTCAACCTGCACTTGTTTATTCTCAACCCCACATTCATGCAAACTGTTTCCTCTGCTTGAATGCCAGATGCCTTAAACACACACTCATCTTTCAGATGTCACTTTAAATGCCATCTTCTCGGGGTAGCTTTCCCAATAACAACCAGGCTAGATGAGATCAAATACCTTACCTTCATGACAATTTATCACAACTAAAATGTTTAAACTATTGAAGTTGTTTAATGCCCATTTTTCCTGTGATGGAATTTTTTTTTCCCCTGGCTCAGGGAGGGGCTGGCATGACATGTGGTGCTGGGGATCCAACCAAACCGTGGTCCAAAGAACTCCGAGAACCCCCTGCACCGGCCTCAGCTTGCCTAAGCAGGCACTTTAGACTGCTGAGCTATCTCGCCAGTCCAATGATATAATCTCAAAGAGAAAAGGACATGGGTCTTAAAATTATATCTCCAAAGCCTAGCATTTTGTCCTAGTAAAAGACCAATAATTATTAAACTACAAATGAATGGCTTGACAAACTGTTATGGTTTGTGTCTAGTTGTCCCCCCAAAGCCTCATGCAGTCATGGGGTGGGGACTTCTAGAGTTTGTGATTAACTCATGATCCTCTGGGATTATGTGTGATCCAATGCTGGCATTATGGGTTTTAGTACTGCTGGGATTATGGGTGTGAGTTCTTCCCTCCACCTGGGGCAGAGAGCCAGAATGTAATATAAGAGACAGAGAGACAGATTTTCTGTAGCCATTGCTCCTTGCTGTTGTTGCTGCTTTTCGGCCGCCATGAAGTGCTGCTCTCTGCCTTGTGCCCCTCTGCCTTGGAACCAGCTGAATATGGACTGAAACCTCCAGTAACTGTGAGCTAAATAAACCTTTCCTTCCTTCATTTTGAGTGTCGGGTATTTGTCCCAGCAACAAGAGATGAGTACCTGAGACACGGGGCTGGGGAGATAGCTCAGGAGAATAAGCGTCTGCCTGGCAAGTTCAGGGTCCTGAGTTCAATCCCTGGTTCCGCCAAAAAAAAAAAAAAAAAAGAGTAACTAAGACATGAATGAAAAGTAAATGAACGCAACACTGAAACAGAATTACTGGCACAATAATACTATAGTTCATCATAATGGTGTCAACAGACTTCCTGTCAAAACATTTACAAAGCTTTGTTACACATATACACAAAAAAAAGAGAAAAAATGAGAACAACTTCATTATAAATCCAGGTTCCAGTCTCTCACTGATATTCCCAAAGTACTTAACAACGAAAGAGTATGGATATAGCTTGATATATAATCCATCTTCCAAGGCAGGTACAAGTATATCCAAATAAAAATATTTCTGACACAAGTCCCAACTATGTTATTTTTCAGCTAGAAAACTGAACTTCTTTGAAAGAGTAATAAAGACCATATACCTGAGAGTTTTATATTTATATGCAGTTATTTAAAACTGACTGTACAAGACAGTCTCTTAACCAGAAAGTAGATAAATTTAGCTAGCCTCCTGGAATAAAATCAAAGCTTAATTATATTAAAGATCAGATCTCCACAACTTTTTTAAATTAATGAGAAAAACGACTAACTCCAAAACCAAAATTTTATTTTAAATCATTAGGTTTTCAGTGCATATAAAAATTTTCATTATACATGACATATAAAGATGTTCGTACACTGCACTATATTAGAAAATATACAACTTTAGAAATCACTAAGATGATTGTGTTCCTGTAGTGAACATAGTTTGCTTAAATTTGGTACCTGGACTTGAACTCAGGACCTTACTCTTGCCAGGTCGGCGCTATACTGCTGAGCTGTCGCCCTGGCCCAACATTGGTATATGCTTTCTTAATAACTTCCTAATAAGGTTGGGAGTGTCTTCCTGACCTACACATAATATGTTTTTCAACGTATTGAATACTGTGCTCGCCTTTTCTCTCATCTCTGGTGGAACATATTTCATATCTAAATATTTTGATAATTTAGATCTAGAATTATATAGCATGTTAATGACAGTTCCAATGTCGTACGTCCCCTTACTGGTTTGTCCTTCAGGAAAGACGTGAGATTCATACATTTTCTCCAATCTGTGTTCTGCAGCTGCTGCCAAAGCAAGACTTCGTCTCAGGCTTTCCTCGGAGCTCTCCACGAGCTCTTTATACTCAGGGTCGTTCTTGTCACCCAGGGGCGCCTGCTGCAGCTGGGACTGGATAGCTGAGATTGCTCTCAAAATGTCATCATTGCTCATAGACTGTGAATGATGTTCAACTGGCTCTCCGAGGTCCTCGCCCGAGAGCTGGGGGACATCTTCGGACTCCGTGGAGAACTCCGAGTCTGTGCTCATGGGCGCGGTGGTGGTGGGAGGGGGCGTGGAGAACCTGGTGGAGGACGAGGATGACCTCCTCGGGGCCTCCGTGCGCTTCATGACTGGCTCTGGCTCCGGCTCATGTTCAATGTAAGGTTCTTTTGTGCGCAGAACGACAGAGATGTTGTTGGGTCTGATGGACCAAAAGGCCGTGCTCTCAGTAGGCTGCGCGGTCTCTGTCCTCGGCGGGGGTCCAGTCACAGGGACCGCCATGCTGTACCCGCTGGTGGAAGCGCCGTCCTGAGTTGCAGCATCTCCGAGCGTGCTGAGGGCCTTCAGTCTTGACACGGCCGGATCTGGAGAGTAGAGATTGTTCGGAGAGGGTATCAGCACCTCCCCGTCGGGCTCCTTCGTGGGGACGCTCAATATGAGGTTCTCTAAAACTTGCACATAGTGATTCAAGTTTTTTTCTTCACTGGGTGACACAGTTAAGCCTTAAAGGGGGAGGTAATTAAATGCATAATCAGTGGCATTTATTATTCTATGTGACACAATGACAGAATCTATGAAACTAAGTTTGTTTCTTATTTACTGAAAAATAGAAATGAAGCAGTGAGGAGCAAAGCATTTTGCATACACTTAAGGGGAACAAAATTATGTTTTCAGGTTCTTAATGAAATAAATGAGATTGGTACAAAAGATGTAGTACATGTTTGTAACTCATTTTTTTCATGTAACATAGATTTTGATGGAAACTCCTGCCCTTGATTACGTCCACTAACTTTGTAGCTTGCTAGATCAGGCTCGTATCAGCAC